TAATTGTCAAGGTAACAACGATGATGACGGCTCGATGGGTGACGATTTGGCCAGTCAGATCATCATCAGACAACCTAATGACTGTACTTAAGCTGGCCGCGTAACAACCTAATCCCCAAAAATCGTGTAACCTCCTTGCATCTGCTACTTCTGGCCGTAATACTGGCTAAAAACATGACCCCGAAATGTCAAGCTGATGAAATTCTTGTGTCGGCAATCGAATTCACTTCTACTCGTTCAACTTATAAAATAAGTTCTGAACAGCTACGCTGAAAAAATGTTTCCCTGTCGAAAGACAGCTTCTTCAGATAGATGAAGTAAATTATCGACGAAGTACTTGTTTGACAATAAATACGCATTACAGACGTCCAGCACAGAAAATAAACAATACTTGTAATTCCTTAGGAGAACAAGCTACCTCATGTCTCATATTCACTAACAGAATAATAAAATGCGGAGAAAAACACACTAACCATGGTGAGGTAGACGGGCTACTGTCATTTTTGCAAACGAAGACATCCTCGATTTCCATCTACAGTAGGCAAAACAGTAATGCCAATTAAAAATTCTGACGCAGGTGAAATGCACACGATATTTAAGGAATTACTGCAGGTGCGCGGGAGTCATTCGATTTTATATAAAAGTTAGAGCTCGAGTGCAATGGACTTGTTGGTGGGGACTGACTACGCGGCCGCTTTTGGTTTTACAACTGAATTTTTTCCGGTAGGCGTGTTGATGCTCTTGAAACAGCAATTTGCAGTAAAGAAAGGCACGGTGGTGTGGTTTCTTCCCACAGTCAATTTCCTTTGTGGGCTGTGGCCTTAGGTTTCGTATTAAGAGCGGAATGGAGAGGTTAGCAACTTTGGTTTCCACAATAACTGTAGGTCTACAGTTAGCCTTGAATGGTGATTGAGGTTAGGGGGGAGTTTGGCAGGCATTGGGTTAGGACTAAGGTGGGTAGAAGAATGACAACGCGGCTGCATATGATCACTTCTTCTTGAGGTTACTACTAAAATTGTTTTCAGTAGGCGTTTTTGGATTCACATAAATCAATTAACAGTGAAACAAGCACGGCGGTGTG